CACCTCACAAGATTTCTTCCTTTCGTTCCCAGTCTTACTGAAGCCATGCTATCTCTTTGCTTCCCTGCCCTTTCGCTTCTTTCTTTCTCCGCTTCTTCAACAACATCCTTGCAACATTATTCTTAGGGTTCATTTTCCTTTTTATTACTACTCTCGACGCTGTTAACCCTGCCTTCGTCTTTAATCACGCTACTCTTCGTTTCACCCACTCCGTCATTATCTCATTCACGGTCTCCGGAGCTCTCAACGACTCCGTTAATTCTGCCTTGAAAGGTGCAGAGCCATCCCTGACATCGGTCCTAAACATGTCATAAATACCACGTAGTACATTAATAGCGAGTCTCAATAATCTTATGACCAGTAACACAATTTAATACGTTTTATCACTTGGTTAGTAGTATTTTTTTTCTCCGTCCCCATCACTACCGCCAACAGATACTTCTATGAGGCCTCAGATGTCTTATACATGTTTATATATAGCCTTTGGGTTGGACCCATGCAAATATTCCAAACTTGTCATTGTTTTGAAAGTGAAAAGTGCTGCTTGTTGGAACCGAACTTGAAACGTCCAGGCCCTGAACTGTGCGTTACATCATACAAGGCTGCTAATGTGTGTGGATCAACATTTAAAGTCTCGTTAGCAAAGTTCGTGGATCTGTGAATCTGAATTTCTAGCCGATCATTAAAGTATAAAAACAAAGAATAAGATCATTAATTAATGAATCTGTCATTTATGATAGAATAGACCCCACGATAGTTCACGTTCTCCTGCATATATCCTCAAAGAACGTTGCAATTTTACAGTAATTCCTTCGACGATGAATCCATTTTTCTCAATAGAATGATAGTGAACGTTACTGTCGAATCTCAACGTTTTCATTATCCCCGACACCCATGAAAATACTACCGGAATTACAAAACGCGAAGTCGGTCAATGACCTCACCATGCAACGAGGGTACGATAATGAATTCCAATACCAATTTAGGGAGATCTCCGCCTAAATGAATTTACAATGTACTCCCGAATGCAGGATGATCGTACAGACGGCAGGCGGAAACTTAGAAGCCCCATTATACGAGTACAACCAGGAATATCGACGTGAATTCCTAGGTCATAAAAAATAAACGCGGTATAAAGACGATGTTTACCAATGTTTCTGCTATTAAAGGATAAAACCCCCGTTGGTAGCTTTAATTCAGTTTAAACGTAAACCATTCGCCCGTAGATCTCATAGTCAATTCTCGTGAATAAAATTCGCCCATGATCGATGTTGCTAAGTTCCACCATTTCCCACTGATCACCACACCACATTCATCATCATCATTCATCATTCGCCGTAGGCTGTCGACACGCACCGTCCCATCCCTCTGGCAGTGTTACGGTCTTATCACCCCCATAAAGCCACTTCAAATGAAATGGAAATTACACCCCGTAAAGAGCGGGGACCGTTGCAGTGGCAAGCCTGTGCCGAGGCCGTGCGGGGTGTGCGTGCCTCACAGTCACAACGCGCTTGTTGGATCACTACTGTCCCCGCCTTCGGCCTCGCCACTCTATCTTTTCACCACCGCCGCCCCCGAGGCAGCGAAATGGGATCCCACTTCTTTGGCTACTAAAGCAATGGTATCTGACGTTCATCAGTCGGGGCGATTCAGTTACATCTGTGTACGTTTGACACGAGAGAAATTTGATATAACCCTGAAACCCCGAGATGATGTATGGAGAGAAGGGATTATGGAATGAAGAGGTGAACAAAACCAAAATGAAATTCCACGCGTTTCACTTTCTTACCTTTCTTTACAAGAAGACAAAGTAATGTAACCGTACGCAGGATAACGGCGAATTTCCTACAGGAAAACTCTTATTGCCGGGTTCTGGTTACGAAAACGTAGATAAATCATGTTCCCATATATTGTAAATTACTTCTTCTACCACTTTGTGTAGTCAGGAATTCACGTTTTGAGGTTCATTTAATAGGTGTATCAATGTTATTCATTTCTAAAGTCAGTGCAGATTTCTTCGCCGTCACCGATGCTAAATGCGGCAACCTTAATTATTAAATCATTAACATTAACGTATCTACATTGAAATAAGTATCCGATCGGTAGATTCAGTATAACTTCAGCAGCGCTTTAAACTTTGGCATACACAGGTTTATTCGATATTTTTAATGAATGTTTCACAATGACATATCTGGAAATGTACTACATATACCAAACACATGCTCATTTATTCAGACCACAATAGAAGAGGAAGCCTGTAACATGGAGCATCTCCCGGAAGCACTACAAATAAACCTGCCGAGTTCGCATCTAGAGGCAGTGCTGTAACCACACTTTTATTTCGGGAGAAGATCGATAAAAGAACATCTGCTACAATAACATTGAAGACTGAATTGACGGAGATGTATGTACCTAACTTTACATAACACCTCAAGCGCTATAACATAGACATATTACGTACCAATGATGCGTAAGTCTGTATGTAATGACTTGAAATCGTTCACTTAAGGAGTTAGTTTTTAATCAGTTAGGTCGCAGCTGAGGTAGATACCTTTTAATAATTAAATATAGTAAATTAAAAGTTTTTCTGGTGTCAAAAATGTATTTTGCTAATGATCGTTTCGATCGCGTAGCGATCATCCTCAGAGCATGCAGCTTCCAGGCCGAAAACAAAGCTCTAGCTTTGCTTTCACTTTGTTGACTTTGTGTCAACTTTGCTTTCGACCTGAAAGCGCGCGAAAGAAACGATCATAAACCAAATACATTTTTCATACCATACAACACCTTTAATTTATCAGAGTTAGTTTTTTTAAATGTAAAATTGAAACCATTTAGTAATTGCAAGTTACAAGCTACAGGACTGCGAAATGATTAAACAACTTTGACAGTAATACTTTTCCATTTAGAAGGATCTTAAGCACAACCTCTTCAAGGCGCCGCCTTGCCTCCGTGCTTGTTGAGTCTTTTGAAAATGGCCAGAGACGATATTCACGAATTAGGCAAACACGGGTTTCTACGAGTATTATTTTTTCTTTATTACACTGCCCCTTCTTGCCAAAGTTTGTTTACCAAGTTGATCAGCAGCAACTCTTTTACATTCTTACCAAACAGCCATTTTTGATAGGTGACTGACAGTCAATTTGTCCCCGTCGGGGCCAAATGAATATTAGCCAACTAAAAGCTCGAAGTCGAAAACAAAGGCTAGGCCGCGCATCGTAAAATATAGCGAAGGAAAAGTGCTCCCTGCGAAGGAGAAGGTTACGTCCACCGACTTTCTTTGCCTGGGCGGTTGTATCTCCGCCAGGGCTGTGCCGGGCCGGGAGAGGGAGAGCGGTGTTGAATGGAGACGCCCTACACTTCCCCCGCGGGCGTTGATGGCTAAGAAATTAAGAGGAGAGTCACAAACGACTCCCTTCACGCCACCGTCAAACGGTTTTACACGAATGAGGGAGTGAATCTGTTCTCATAGTGGAGAACTAATAGTGCCCCGTTCAGAAAATAGTGGGGGAGGGAGCAACTTCGCCGACCCCCCTGAGGTAAGCCTCTTTGGCGACTCTTTTCAAAGTCGTTGAGTTGTAGAACACATTCTGTAGTCCAATTAAAATTTCTTAACTGACAGCTACTGAGCTTCGAAGAAGAGAGATATCTTTTTTTGAGTCGGAATCTTCAATTTCTATGATGTTACAAAACAGACTCTTGAACACACACACACACAAACCTCACAGAAACGTGTACTGCGCATTTTTTTACACAATACTTTATTCTAAATGTTAGAAATGCTGTGTTTAAAACATGTATGCTGAACGTGAAAAAATAAAATAATAAAATTTACAAAAAACAAAATAACAGAGATGTCAAAGCTCATTGAAAAAAATTGCTTACTATACTACGTGTATCAGTGATACGAATGGTTGAAATTCACCAGTATTACTCCGTTGTAACAGTCTTTAATACTTTAATGTCATTGCAATTTATTGAATGTTATTTGTGATGTGATCAGTCTATATAGTTTTGTACGTATCTTTGGTGGATGTTTGTGTCTCGTTACCGCTGCCACTAGTGTAAGCCGTGATTCACGTGTTACTGTAGTCATGTAAGTTATATGAATAAAGGGAATATACCGCGATAGTACGCAATATTTACGTATCAGTTTTAAATCGTTCAATTCTGTCAAAGAGCAACACCTTTGCCATAACTAAAAGTCTAGGTGCGCATGACTGGGATCTGAGCTGGGCTACCTCAACCGTGCCCGTCGCGAGAGTGTATGATGAAATCGCGTCCCCCCTCTCAACTGCCAATCTCCAAGAAATGTCCATCGGAGAGTATTTTTGAAGTCCTAGGCTTTCACAGACCAGAGACTTACGAGTGCTCTTGTCTGCGGGTGAGGCCGCTTCGAAGGCCCCTGATTGGCCGGCTGGTTCAACCAATAACACCCGTACGTAAACCCGAGGCCCGACTTTTGCGGCGCGGACCAGCCCTGAGGAATGCCACGGCAAGAGGTCCAAACGTCCGCGTCACCCGGACAACCAAGAGCGTGGTGTGTAGTGCTGTCGGGAGCCGCTTGGAGCGCTAACACCCGTATGTAAAGCCGGTCGAAGATTATTCTGGCGCAGACAGCCCCTGAGAAAGGCCACGGCAAGAAGGTCGAAACTTCTGCATCACTCAGACAGGCACAAGCGTGAACCGTAGTGCTGTCGGGATCCGCTTGGAGTGCTAACACCCGTAAGTAAAACACGGACTCCGACCATTCCTGCGCAGACCACCCCTGAGGAAGGCCAGGACAAGAGTTCGAAACGTTCGCGCCACCCGGACAACCAAGAGTGCGGCGTGTAGTGCCGGCGGGAGCCGCGTGGAGCGCTAACACCCGTACGTAAAGCCAGGAGCCGACCAGCTCTGAGGAAGGCCACGGCAAGAAGGTCGAAACGTCCGTGTCACATGGATAACCAAGAGCGCAGCGTGTAGTGCCACGTGCGGCGCTGGTGCGTGCGCCGATGACTCACGCGATGAACTTGTTGAAGAGCGAGGAGCACTTGCGGATGACGCGCGCCGTGCGCGACTCCTCCTCTTGGCTGCGGCTGAAGTCCAGCCCGTCGTCCATCTTGCCCTCCTCGTGCAGCACGGCCTGCTTCTCCTCCACCTTGCCCACGCCCTTCTTCTTCGTCTCGTACGACTGCAAGCAACGCACACGCCGTCAAACCACGTCCCAAACAAACATACCTATTAAATATCATTGTTCTATAAACAAAACACTTTGTCATACTAATTAGCATACCGCGTAACTCCAGATTTGCAATGAAAAGAATAAACATAGTCGCGAAGCAGAAATTTAGTTTATTTTCTTGTTGAACTTATAAATACTGGGCAACTCAATTATTTAAGTTGCTCGATTTTTTTATTTACTTCTATTTATTTCTTTTCTTTCATAGTTATATTTTATCTTGAAGTAAACAGAAAATAGAGGAGGGAATATGGAGTTACGAGGTTTGCTAATAATCATGACGGCTTATTGTCTGAAAGGTACTTGTGAATGTGTGAGTGAGTTTATATTGTTTTCTGGAGTTTCCACTATTAGGTCATTATTCCAGTAAGAATAGTGCTAGGTATTTATAGGTAGGTGGCGGGGTTTCTCTCCTGCTAGAATCAGAAATCCTGCGCCGATCTACTTGTCAGTGTGCTTGTTTTCCACCTCCGAGTATCTCCACAAGCAAGGCAACACACCAGAAATCGTTAAGTTTCGGAGTAATCTCGCGTAATGTGTTGTAGTTTGTATGTAAATGTGCGTGTGTATGTGTATGTGTATGTATATGTATAAAAGGAGGGGAAGAGATAAGAAAAATGAGGCCGAAATAAATATCACACGCGGTCTGTGAGCCTTTGACTTTAATTAATGATGTAAAATTGCTGGACATTGATAAATTAATGTGAACTGACTCACACTTTTACGGTGTGAGCAGTTATAGAAAAATCTTCTCGGGAACGCGAAAGAGGCGTAACGAAACGCGAGAATCAACCGAACGAATCTACGCGAGGGCCGACGCAGTGGAAATTTATGACAGCCATAAAACGATATAACGTGAGTCATTTGAGAAAGAGGGAGCAATCTCACTCAAAGAATGTTCAAATAAGCCACCGGATTAGCATGAAAGAAAATGACTGTCTTTCCATGTTTTTCCTCTCGTACTTTACAGTTTGATAGTGGAGAATGAGAGGAGAATGATGCGTGAGCAGGCAACAGAAGCACCGAGTCAGCAGCCCTCTAACCCATCTTTCGAGCTCTCTGGGATACCTCAGTAACGCAACGACGAACATTATTTCAAGCGGATCGTCTCCATTGCGAAGAAATTAGTGAATGAATTCATTGGGAATCATTCCCTCCGATCCTTTATCCCAATCGGAGGAGGCCCTATTTACCAGGAGAATTAATTTAGAAGTAATGTAGAAAGTAGTCTGCATGGCCTTCGTTTTCACATCGCCGAATGTGTGAATGAGATGGTAATAAATGCAATTACACGTTTCATTCCAGATTATATTAGTATTTAGTTTTCCTATTTTTAATACGTTTTTTTTTGTTTTTGTCAACATATTTTTAGACATGTAAACAGATGAATTAAACAAATGAAAGTTGCTCGCAATAAATGTTCGTGTATATGGTTTACCACGTAGTTTAACGAATGCTGCCACATTTAAACAACTAATGTCTGGCTTTAATTGCACAAATGCGCTCCTTTGTCGTAAGAGAGTGTTGGGTGCAAATTAATGAATGTTGATTGATGTTTTGAGTCAAAAGTACAGCCATATCATGAAACTCGTAATTTTGCTACATTTTGAATGATGTTGAAAGTTTATAACATCTTATAGTGACTCTAAACGCAGGCCACTTTCGAAATTCAGCAACAACCCTATGGTGAGATAGGAAGAATGAGGAGAAGGAAAAAGACGTGGACAATGATCTGGATGAAGACAGATAGACGAAAAAAGGACGAAGGTTCGAGGAGAAAGGTTCGAAACAATTTCCATACGTCGACATTAATATTCCGTTATCTACTAGAAGGCGCCGGTTGTCCCATGTTCTCTTTTGCCTTTCAAAGTCGAGGCCTTTAGCCAGTCCCGAGCTCCAGGCAGTGGCCTACATTCTCTTCCTTCTAGGTTTCTATTGCCAGACGTTCAGGAGAACCTTTCGGGACCTTATATCCGAGTCCCTTTGTACTATTTTCTTGAATAAAAACCGAAAAAATCTCTGCAGTTATGATTCTGAAGGTTATTTGCAATTCTTTTTGTGAACAAAACGTACATAAGAGAGAGATGTTCTTTGCTTTCCGAAAGTCTGTCGACCGCATACCTTTGCATAAAATGAAAAGTAATCATGTTAAAACAGAGACATTTTTCTGTGCGTCTGTACTAAGCCAAATAAAATGAAAAAAATACATAATATTTCATTTCATATCAGAAACTATAATTAAGTAAATATAATGTAACGCGGATAATAATTATACAGGTGTCCCATTTAACTTGACAACTTGAAATAACTAAAAAAAACGCGATGTACGAACAATTGAGGCGATACCATATCTTAACAGCTTTGAAGGAGGAATCATTCTATGCTAAAATCAGTACCCCCTGCCCCCAGCGGGTGGGGCGGAGGGCAACATTGAAATCTTTAATAGGAACCCCCATTTTTTATTTCAGATTCGGATTATACGGACAAAAATACATAAGTTTGTTCGGACGTACACGACTTTTTACACGACTGAAATTACATTTTCGATATAATTTCATACAAAACGAAGATAAATAATAGAAACTCTCGTTTAAACCTTTCACGTTATTCTAAGTATTTACGATTAATGTGACCCAGTAATCACATTAGCATAAATCCTTTATTTATAATTTCATCCAATTGTGTTTGCATTTTCCAGAATAAACACTTCTCAGGGTACATTTTTAAAATGATAATTTGAGTGAAAAGGCAAATGCAAAGGTAGGTTGCTTACCTTGTACGAGAGCCATAATGAAGATTCCGAGTGTTGAACGATGACAGTGCTGTCACCGTACTTGATGATGGGCGCGCCGATAACCTCAAGGTCTTTGTCCTCGAGGACCACCTTCTGGTCGTCCTTCTCTTGGCGCAAACAGAACGTACTGCTTGCCAAGGATGCGTCTTCCCTGCGAACAAAAGAGCGCGACGTTGTGTGCAATGAGACGCGAGAACTTTCTCAAAATATTTCTCAAAGGAATGCATACTTTCTTATAAACTACTCAAACATAAGGATTACAATAATTTACGCATTTTATCAAGTACCTACTTGAATATAACCACACTAATTTTGTTATATATTTCAAACGATTGAATCGAATATTTTTTATACTTTTAATTAATTCATTATTTGTGTCTCAAAACTGTTGTCCTTAGTTTCGTAATGAGCACCATGGAACTTTCAGAAATTATGTTCGTGGTCTAGGATTAAGAATTGTTCTTATTACACCAATGAAAATAAATTTAATTTGTATCATTAGTACCGAACAATGCAATCGTACCAATATTCGAATTGACATGTGGTTGACGTTTTAGTCAAAGTTAATATTTTAAAATATCTACCTTGTTTCGTATCACTTCCAGTTTCCTGCTGTGATCGCTGTTTTTAGAAAAGTATAAAAAAAGAAAATCTGGACCTTCTCAGTGCATACCAATGTATTGTTATTTTACCCTGGGCACGAATATTGACGAAAAGCTTTGAAGAAATTAATTATTCCTAAAATCTACTTTAGTGGGGTTAAAGTACACATTGAATTAACAAAGACGTTTAATAGTAGCGTATTACAATGCTCTGTTCAATGTAAGAACATTAGATCAGAAATAGGCACGAGGAGTGGGCATCAACATCCCGGATGTTTTTCTTCGTAAAATCGTCTCAGAATTTATCGGCTTTGTAGGTTCGAGGCGCTATTAAAAGACGAGCAGTGTTGCCAAGTGCACCACAGGTGACGGCTGCACGTGAGGGGGCCCGACGCCCCCGACGCAAGCGCTAAAAAGCACGCGCAACACGTCACACATCCCTCGCCCTCGCCTCCCGCCTCGGCTATTTTCAGGCGCCCTCGAAACGAACTTGTTTCCGGACGCACTACGACCTCCCCTCCGCACGAGCACTCACTCACACACACAAATATATTTCATCGCACTCGTTCTCTCACCCTCCCTCCCCCTCGTACTCTCACTCTCTCTCCCTCGTTCTCTCACTCTCTCTCCCTCGTTCTCTCACTCTCTCTCCCTCGTTCTCCTTCTCTCCCTCTTCCTCCTTCTCTCCCTCTTCCTCATTCTCTCCCTCTTCCTCATTCTCTCTCTCTTCCTCATTCTCTCCCTCTTTCTCATTCTCTTCCTCTTCCTCATTCTCTCCCTCTTCCTCATTCTCCCCTCTCCCTCCCTCTCTCCCTCCCTCTTTCTCTTTCTGTGTTTCTCTCGCTCTCTTTCTCTCTGCCTTTCTTTCTCTTCCTCTCCTCGCACTCAATCTCTCTCCCACACACATACAAACATAAACTAGAGTTCATATATTTTAAACAAAAATACGGGACCTCTAAGTTTTTAAGGTATTACGAAATCAAACGCGTCATGTACCTCTGATGAAGGGTGTTGTGTCCTTGGGATCAAACCTGTACTTTCAATCCGGGTGAACAATAATGGAAAAGAAGCTGCAATACTCCCAAACTTCAGCTTTGCTGATCCGAAACGTAATCGAAACGGTCCTAACTTTTTAAATTCTATAACGGTTGTAATTGGACGTTAAACGAGCAATTATTAACTCATTTCGAACTAAATTTCATTCTCTACTTCTGTAAGGATATTCCTGGAAAACTAAGGGCTGATGTGCTAGAGAGCAAAGGATGTCGAAAGATGTGAAACGTTTTTAAAAATTTTTAGCTTTCGATAAAAAGTCATTGTAAATAGGGAAAGGATACAAACAATCTCCTACGTAATTGTGTGAGCGTGCTTCTTGAATGCAGGACATTTTTCGATATTTAAGTGAAAAAAACATTATTTTACTTTAGAGATGAAATCGTAGCTGTCCCCGGACTTATTCAAGAAGCGGACGGGCAAGAAGGGAAATGCATAGGCTTTCATTTTTTTTTGTTTTTTGCGTATTCTTAAATAGAAAACTACTACATTTTTTGCCCTGGTGGCCAATAGAAAAACTAGAGAAATTCCGTGACATACCGGAACTCGTCCTTCTCTCAGTAATACTAATAATTACTCAACAACTACATATATTTTGTAAGTGCATATCATTTACAAAAACAAACCCTAAATTTTAAATTATTAAATTGAGGAATAAATTGCGTTGGGAAATAAATCTCTGACTACAGTATTGGAGGTGTAGGGCACATTTGAAAATAAATTTGAATTCAATTTTTTAAATTTCTTAGGTTTTAATGAAAATAGCAACTAAACATTTTTTATAAATCCACTCTTGAATTCCAGAAAAAAATCAAATCATTAGTCGTTTTCCAGAAAATTTTGAATATGATATACGGACTTCATGTAAAGCACTCCCCTAAACATTAAAAAATATTAAGGGACTTCAAAACGGCACATCTGTATCTTACTCCTGGCGTATTTGCCATGTTTCATATTAAAGCTTCCAATCTGACAGAGTTCTGCCTGATACTTACATCCATACATCCACATCCACATCACGATTTTCGAAAATGCAATAGTTCGCATCTTCTCGCAACTTTCAGAAACATTAACCATCTTTGGAATAGCACCAAAAAACCTAAGTACTAACGAATGGGCGAAATTACAGCAGAAAAGTCCCTTAAAAACGAATTCTAACCAAAAATTCGAAATCCTATTGTGCAGGTAATTATAATACTTACACTACCTCCTAAGCTATACGTGATATGAATAGTAAAAATGGGACGAAGGAAAAACCTGCCCATTTTGGCAACCGGAGGTTTTTCGGAACAACGGGACAGAAGTCGAAAAAGCGAGGCAATCCCGTATTTCGAGGAACATATACAAACCCTGACACACATTCACGCACGCTCGCATCTCTCCCCTCTCTGCGCTCCCCCCCCCGCGTTCTTGCGGCCGTGCCTGCTTGCGTCCATTCTCGTCGGATCCCATTACCGCTGCCGCGTTCTTGACAGAATGGTTTGTGTGCCCGCGCGTGGAATCTTGTTATGCTCTACAGAATCTCGACGTGGATTGCATTAGTGTATGCTAAATGGTAGACGCGGCGATTCGAGACCACGCGGCGATTCGAGACCATATCACCCACGAATGACACGTCGATGCTTATGGCTGATTTACATACTTCGCACTCGACTCCATTAAACATTGAAATATCCGAGTATATCTGGATATATTTTAACAACACTTATGACCGTAACATTTTTTTTAACTTGAAATGTCCTAGTTTCTCGTTTATGTGTATCACTAAATATCATCAATGATTTAGTAGGGCGTTTCAAGCGATTAAGCAAACATTGCAATACGAAAGTGAAATGAAATGCAAGTTTAGTTTGTTTTCGAGTCATAATGGTTTTCTCGCTTTTATTATTTCATTTCTCTGTTCTTGACCTTATTCGTGTACGGTCTCTTTTTCATTTTTCTATTAATCAAACTTCCTTTTCTTCACTTTTTCTTTCGCTAAATAAATTAACAGTACTAGACTTCAATGCTAGAATACCGACGCACTTTCGGTGCATTTCTGTAAATTTGTGTTAAAATATTTTCGGTTTTTTGAGATGTAGCAAATCCATGTACTTAACCCCTTACCTAACTTAAACCCTTCCATGGACTCATGGACTTAAACCCATGTACAACAAATCCATGTACTTAAACCCTTGAGATCCTATTCGTGAATGTGCATATCGCCTTTTCGTGTTTTTATTAAGTTTTGATATTTGTTAAGCTTTATGTAGATAATATTTGTTGGCGATACTTTTTGTGGAGATAGCCGCTTTTAAAGACTAAACAGTCACTAAGGGTTCAGAATGTTACTATTAAAATTAATTTTTAGACATGAAACAGTTACCCATTACTTTAAAAAATATGTTAAGAAAACTGAGCCCATCGTTGTCCCCCCATTGGTATGTGTCTTTTTTTATCTGTTAATTTCAATTTCAACTCACGTAAAATAATCATCTGAATACTTTGGTCTTGCACTCATCATTCCCATAGTCGAAAATCATCCCCCTTTTTACCCCATTTAATTTGTCTAGCCGAAATTTTCTTAGTATCTTTATCATCAATCTTTTCAATATCTAGGTCTGCTGTCTCGCTGTTTATTTGCTCTTCTGCTCCCCTCGTCTATCCCCTTTCCCAACACGTGCAAACAAGCCAGGGAGCGGTGAGTCGTGCGTAATGCAGCCCCTTCGGCCTCCACAACGCCCGCTCAACCCCACCCCGTCAGCGCCACCCCACCCCCCATCGGGCAGCTCCGAGCAACGACCCCGGGGGGGGGTGCGCAGGTAGGGAGAGGGCGATGGACACCACACGGAACGAGTTGATTTAAATCGGCGTTGTCCGGTTAGACCCTTTAACTCACTCCTGTGTTAGACGGTTTAGGAAGGAATAATATCTGTAGCGTTAAATGGAAGTGATTTTTGTTTTCCCGGTCAGCCTACATATCTTTCCCGCCATCTCCGAGACATCCTTTAATTTATATCAATTTATATCAATGTATATCAATGTATATCAATTTCTATCAATTTATATCAACTTACATCAATTTATATCAACTTACATCAATTTATATCAATTTACATCAATTTATATCAATTTACATCAATTTACATTAATTTACATCCATTATATCAATGTATAGCAATGAATACCCATTTATATCAATATATACGCATTTCTATCCATTCATATCTATTTGTATCCATTTATATTCAATTATATCCATTTTTATTCAATTATATCCATTTATATTCAATTATATCCATTTATATTCAATTATATTCAATTATATTCAATTATATTCAATTATATTCATTTATATTCACTTATATTCATTTATATTCATTTATATTCATTTATATTCATTTATATTCATTTATATTCATTTATATTCATTTTTATCCATTTATATCCATTTACATTCATTTATTCACTTATTCATTTATTTTCCTATGTACTCCGTTCGCGCGCTCAACGCTTTCGCACACCAAACCGCGAGCGCAGGCCATGGCGCAAAGGCCGAGGGCGGGACGCACCTGGCGACGAGGCAGAGCTCGTTGTTCTCGTTGATGGAGAGGTAGCGGCCCGTGGTGAGGTGGCGGATGCGCATCGGGTGGTACCAGTTGATGAAGCCGCCCGCCCACTTGGTGCGCGCCAGCTCCAGCCGCCAGAGCGAGCGCGCCTGCGACATGACGCTGCCGCCCTCGTAGATGACGATGCTGCAACACAGCGCGGCACTTCGCTGACCCCTTTGCGGCTCTCGGCATTTCGGTGGCCGAACTGCTCATCCCCGCTCCGTGAAGTCGCGGGGATTAACCACTCGAGCCACCGAGGCCTCCTGGATGGGTGACCGTCTGGAAACTCGGGCAACTAATGGCGTCGAGGCGCGCTCATAGTGATGAAAAGGCAAAGACATTATGACAAAATGACTTCGTTCAAGGAGAATTACTCTGTGGTCAATGCCGATTGAAAGTTTGGAACATTTTAAAGAGAGTAACCGAATTAAAGCTTTCATCGCTGATTTATTCTGTTTTTCTTCACTAGAAATTCCTGGATCTCCTTACTCTGGCTGAGCCATAGCACCATAAGTAATATTTTGATTGGCATACATTGAAATTGGCAAGAGTAAACATATGATTAGTTATCTACTCTTGCCAATGTTAATACTTAAGTGTCTAGTAAGTCCATGTCAGTCCAAGTTCATACTTTTTGCGGAACGTTGTCACCTAATTGTATCACTGCTCATGCAACTTAAAGCCGAAGGAGAAAAATTGAGGATAAGATCTTAATTTCGAGGGGGGATACATGGGGTGCTAGGAGGGCACATTACTCCCCAACACACGTACCCCATGCGTTATGCGGGATTCAAACTCCCAGCCCGGATGCAACGCGTACTTGCGAAGAAATTCCGCATGTACTTGCGTTACCCAGGCCGGCCGGGAAAGCGAGGGAGAGAGTGAAAGGAGGGAGGGGGTGCTTGGTGGTTGGGAGACCTCCGAAATGCCACAACACTCAAGCAAACATCTAGCCTTGGCGGGACTCAAACTCACGTCCCTCAGAACGGACATTGTAAACGCGCTTCCACGTGAGCGATCTTGGCTACACAATGTCGGCTTTCCGCTTTTTGGACTGACAAGGTTCTAACTAACATGTCAGTCGTCTATAGCAAACGGATGTCAAAATTTCGTTAACTCATTGTTCAGTCACCTCTCCATCTACGGTTGCGGTTTTTACAGTATCTACACGTCCACTAATGTCACCAAGAGTATATCCTCCTTGTAACAAACGTCAGGTAGAACTTTATCACCCTAAAAACTGTAATTTTTAACACGCCGTGCGAAAAACGCGGTTTTTCGTGCTTGCTTTCCGTGTGCACAACAGCTATTTGTTCTCATTGTGTGAAACAAAACGAAACATCGTATAACATGTGCAAAAAACACGAACCGTGTACAAAACATCTGTAATGATTCGCAACTGACTTTCGTCTTAACGATGTCTTTGTTTATTATTTACAAACAATTGTGTTACGACACTGACTGCAATCCATTTACTTTTGTATAAGTAAGGTTATTTTATAATCAAGTTATATCCCTTTACTTGACGCATTGCGTTTCGCTCACGGCGTCTTAAAAAAGTGTCTACGCAACACAGGCGCGAGGTGATTCCCGCACTGGTCTCTTTGTCGTCCTCACTGCGCTCGGACGACAACCTCGACTCGAGCGTGAATCACCTGTTTGGCGCCCATGTTACGTGAGTAGGGTCCAAGGGGCCGCGCTGCTGGTGCTGGTACTCACTTGTGCGCGGGGTCCGCCGTCCACGTGGACGGGATGGTGAGGCACTCGTCGCCCCCGTGGAAGAAGCGCAGCACGTCGCCGCCGAACACGTACCCTGCAACGCAGCGCAGCCACGCCCCCTCGCTCAGCGCCCGCCACGCACTCCCGCACGCCCACGCCACCTGCGCCTCGGTGGAGCCAATTATGCACGTCCCAGTGGAACGGGTTGTTTTTGTGAATTCGGGAACGTCAACCAACGGGGTCGCTAGCGCCGTAAGTGTAGTGCATGTTTTTGCTTGAGCGGTGGCTGTGGTTTTTCCCTCGATGTATGGCGAGATCCAGCGCCGACCTACCATCGGCTAGTGGGGTTTTCCCCAACCAGGTATCTCCCAACAGCGGGGCACCTCCCCAGCCGGGATATATGCTCCCTACTGGTCTCCTGACATGAGTGCTTGTGTAGTGCGTGTTAGTGTAAGTGTGTGTGTGAGGGGAGAGGATAGGACAAGGAAGAGGTAGGAAATATCGCGCGCGTTACGAGGGCTGTTTGATAGGGTACTGCCCCGGCATTCACCTGGTGTCCATCGGAAAAAACACGGAAAACTCCTGATCAGAGCAGCCGGCCGCTAGAATTATCCTCCAGACAGCGACTGAATTTGACGTAGCTGACAAGCTAGTGTCGAAAGTCCTGTCACCATCGTGACTCAAACCTAGGATCTCTCAGTCAAAGGGACTGCAGTTACATCAGCTGATGTCCTGAGCCACCTCTCCCGGTGGAATGGAATGTGGAATGCAGGTTGTGAATATAAGAGCTTTTGCATAGCGTGGCGTAAACCTTATGAGGCAACCACGTGACCATTAGCACGTGAATAGTAAAGAGAGTTTCTTCTCAACGTTTTCGTGTAAATTGGAGATTTTCCGAACTACGACAACAGAGTGCGCGTTAAACGTCTACGAAGCCACATCTCTTGATTCGCATTTGTGGGAAATGTAGAGCTGCTCACCGATCGCTCGTCAGTATAATATATAATTATTCTATTATATCATTTTTATATTATAAAATAAATATAATTATTCTTATGGATACAAATTAATCCCCATGAGATAAAAGGGAACAAGTCAAAAAGGCAATGTTTTCTTCTATTGTAAAGTTGTTCCTTAAGGCAAGGAAAACTATACTCTGAAGAAAGTAATCACACCATAACAGTATTTAGACTATCATAGTAAATTCACATAGAAAAAATGGGCAGGATAATACAGCGTGCGTGAGTATTATGCAATGTTTCCTTCCTCCTGAAAAGTGGCAAGAAATGACTTGATCCCTTTCTTCTCAGTCTGATTCAATTGCATATCCTGATTAGTTCCACAAGCGTGGTGTTGCATCATGGGACTATAGAGTGAGCAGCACACTCTGCCGTCACAATCAGAAAGAAATTCCATATAGCGTGATCATGTGACTGGTTTAGGGCGTGACAAGAGTTATGTGATTACACTTGCTAACTTTGGTAGGGTGGCGTATTACACTATCCCTTTAGTGTAAAGGAATTTGCTCATGCGCGGAGTCTCAAAAGTGAATTTATAGCGTATATGCTAAGGTTTTTCACACAGTGCAACAGGACTCTTAGTGACAATTCCCTTGTATAACCTGACGTGGTTTTTGCCTTTAATTACATTTACCCTAGAGATCATAACTTTTGAATTTACTTCCCATTTTATGGTGCTTGGTGAGGGATAATTATAAGCTAAACTGATGCAGGTTTGAGACACAACTCTTTTAATGTTTGGGGCACACATTTAAATGTATAGGATCAAGACAATCTATCATGTCGCCAGAAAATGAACTACAATACCGGATATTTAGATAGAATAATAATATAATCAACTTGAGATATTATGATACGGTCACCTAAAAAACTGAATATTGTGGCTTATGATTATCGCTAACTGATCCATTCAAATGACCAATTCTTTCTGATACAGCGTAACAGCATGTCTAAACGTTCTTATACAACTGTGAAAAATTCTTCGAAATACGTGTATTTGTTTCCTAACTTTCATTTTCTTAAATATCGTTTTCAAGTATTTATTAAAAAAATTATGTGGGTGGATTAATATTTGCAACTTCGGAAGTTTCAAACACGAAACAACAATTTTTTAAATAACAATTCGAGAATGTGGCCAATGTCACGATATTTCAACTAATGTCTGCAGAGAAAAATACCTTAAAAATGCAACCTCATTAAGGTATTAGTGAATATTTATATAAGTTTTTTATAATAAGTTTGCAGAGTATTTTCACAATAAGAGAGTTTAAAGTACTGATTATCTTATTGTACCGATACATAATTTCAGTTCATACGAAAGTATCCAATATTTTGTAAATCATATGCAAATATTATTATTTTCTAAGCAAATAGACTAACTAAATATATGCACTGTATTGTACACAATTATCTACACTTATATACTGACTTTTGAATGAATGCCAGGCAATAATCAAAAGCACACGATGAAACAAGTGAATACTTATTCCTGTATACCCATCCTATTTCCTACCCAGAGAGAGATGTATTTGATGATAAGATAAGGTACGCTGTTGCTTTGTTTAACGAAAGGAAATGTGTTTTCCTAATTTCCGGTCTCCAGCAAAGCACAGGATAATACAACATTAATCAGCGCGTGTCTTCTCGCAAAGGACATTTCCAAAATTGTCGCCTCTCACTCATGCACGTGTTTACAAATTTGGTACTAAGCACACGGTCACAATTTGGCCTCTCCCCGAGGATGCGCCGCGCAACCGGCCTGAAACTCTGCCCGCAGCAGCGACCGCAGAGCTAACACCCCTCGCCGCTGTTTGCGCAGCGGGCGCAGCCAGTGCGGGGTGCATTTACATCCCCGAGATCCGCGTGTGCGCGTGGAGAGAAAGGCAAAAAGCAGGAGGGAATGTTGAAGAGAAAAGGAAGACAGGAGGACTTGTCCCTGGAATGGAATAGAATTTTTCTTAGAAATTAACACCGCCGGCGCAAAGATATTGTCTGTGGGCAATGCAGCGAGGACGAAGTTAAAAATAGGAATCGCATCAGAATATAATAGGAAAGTTATCGGAAGAAAATAGGATAAATAGGAAATAAAGAATCGAGAAATGGGGACGTAAACGGGACGGGAAGAGATAAATAGAGATAAGGAATGAAGGAAGCTTACATAAGACGAGAGGAAAGAGCGACGAGAGAAGAGGAGATGAAAGTGCGGACAGAGAAAAGAGGAGAGACACGAGGAATGAGATAAGTAGACATTATAAAGAGACATCCGTGAGAGACAGAAAAGGTGGGACGGAATTGATAGAAATGGTGGAAAGGAGTAGATGATGAAAAGAGCACAGAGGGAGTGAAATGAGAAATGGTAAATAAATAAAAGAGAAAGGGAGAGAGAAAAGGGTAGAGTACGAGATGAGAACGGGAGAGCCAGCAATGACAGGCAAACAGAGGTAGCGAGATTTCGGAGAGAACAACGAGAGAGAAAGGAAAAATGAGAGAGGGAGAGATCGATAAAAGAGGTATATAGGAGAGGTACAGAAGGATGGGAGAGAGAGAAAGATGAGATATAAAGATGAAAAAGAGAAATACAAGGAAGGAAGAGAAAGGTGGGAGAAGGAAAGAGAGAAAGAATATACTGAGGTAGAGTTTGGGTATTGCGAGAATCCAGTGGGATCTTACAAAGAAAGTGATACAACTGGACAGAAGTATTTTCCCGGCTGGCCCTTTGCCAGGCCATTGCAAAAAGCATTTCGAATGAAGATGTGTAACTCTATGTGACGTCGGAAAGAGAAAAAAAGACTCCTAGGAACACAAAAGGGTACAATAATTCGATCGCTGACCGATGGTTGGCAAGGAGAAAACTTTCCAAGTGAAGTATCTGCGGAGAGTGCTGTCTGGGCCATGGATTTAAAGAAACATCACGTAATCACAGAGCAAAAGAAATATTGATGTTATGGGTCAATATATAACGATGGAGAGACAAATTGAAAGTCATGAATAAAGAAAATGTTATTCTCCAAAGAAATTAAACACGTTATATTTTTCTACAATGAAATGAATATTTATATTATAAATGTTAATTAAAATTTTAAATAGATTATCATTCATAAAGTAATAAGTGAACTCAATTTTTAAAATCGTTCGAAATTTTTACTAATTTATAATTTTTTATTATTTTATCATTTTCCTTCATAAATGAACTCACTTAGAGGGTGTTATAACGTAGACCATATACTCCCGTGTACCTATTAATGTGGTGTGTATCCGTTTAATGAAGATTACATAAAAAACAATTGTTATAAGTTCATTGGATCACTGCTTAATATTCTTACGTGCTATATGAGAACATGCTAATTGTTATGTGTATTCGTTTTTCACTTATTTGGTAAAGAATATATTTTATGCAAATTGCTTCGTGTTTTATAATACCCACAAGAATGTAGTAAAAATTCAATGAAATTGTCAAAGTCAATCGTACCTGCACGTTACTAAACTTTGCATGGTATCCTAAAACAAACTTGTCAAAGAACTAGTGTTTGGTATTTACAACCTATGGTCCTAAACCTTTGAATAGCTGCCAAGTGAATACAAAGGATCCCTACAAGATATTTTGGAGACAATGGAACAATGGACATTGACTTTTCCACAACCATCTCAGAATTGCGCACCACATGAGAAAAATATCTTAGATCTTTGTTGGAAAAGAACTGATAATTGAGTAAAAATTCTAAGCTTTAATTTTATATTGCTTTCAGATTAAATTATTTGCTCTTTAGTTTTCTGTCATGAAGATCATAGCTGAAGTCAGAGGTACGTTAATAATTACGTGAATAACGTTTGGTTACGACGAAACAGGATTTGATTTCGAATAAAATGTTATCAATGAACAAAGTTCAATTCAAATTTTGGGGAGAGAAAATACATTTGTAGCCTACAAAACGTAACAGTTTACATTATGATTAGCGTCTTGAGAGTACCAGGATTTCCTCAGTGAAAATAATAGTCAAGATCCAATGCTGTTATGTACTTTCGAAGTATTGGGTTACACAAATTAAATTAATTGATTCATTAGTATTTCCGTCGCGTACACTATTCTGTTTATTAGTCCAGTAAGTGCAGTAAATGTTTTATCAAGGGATGTAACGCTTATCTCCCCCCCCCCCGCTGGATGGCGAGACAAGGCGCCGATCCACACGTCGTCTTGCGGGATTCTTGTACGAGCAGGTACCTCCCACCAGCGAGGCACCATCCCCAGCAGCAAGAAGCTGGTGCGTGCCAGGACAACCCTACATGTATGGTAATGTAGTGCCTGTAAGTGTGGTTTAACTGTGTGTACATTAGGTGTGAGGAGAGGACAAGATAGAGGAAAGAAAGAATGCGCACGGTCCTTTGCCCGTTTTTTAGGGTACTTCTCAGGCTTTTGACAATGAAAGCACGTAAAACTACTTATCGCAGGTGCCGGCCGGAATTCTCCTTCAATCTAACGTAGCAAGTGTCGAAAATGCTGCCTCCGTCGGGTCTCGAACCTTGCGACTTCGCGGTGAGAGGCTTTGCAATGACATCAAGTCATACTCTAAACCACCTACACTGATCTCACAATTAACGCAGCAGGGGGTTGTTTAAAATGATGCACTCACCTACATACTTCATTCTGCTGATGCCTGTGCCGTAGGGTTGAACAGACCAATGGGTCACGTGGAATGATGCGTTCACTACAGATACATCGTTTTCCTTTGCGGTGTGCTGCAAAAGGGGAATTACACAACATCAAGAGGCATATAATGGAATTGACTTAGTAGAAAAATAAATATTATTGTGCAACTGCAGTACAAACTATAATTATTAGTAGTTTCTTGGATGAAGTTTTATTATTTTTTCCAGTTTTTCTTTCTTTCATTAAAATTGTTATGCATTTGTAAATGAGTTTGATAGCAAAGTAGATGGACATTTGCCATAAACATGTTCTGTAAAAATACACTCCTTGCTAAGAACCCTAAGACAATATTTAATCTATATCTAGTTCATGCTTTATTAGTGACCTATTATGTTTTAAAATATGTTCCCTAGTGAATTTTCATGCAAAGAGCAAATCGAGTATGAGTAGAGTGTGATCTGCTCTTTATTTTTCAGTAGAGCTACAGCGTATATCAGACCTCACATTACAGAAAGACTGCAAAATACGGAAATATTTGAACTCTAATTTCAACATCTCAAGTCATTTTATTACATTTATTGTTAAAAAAGTAAATACCAATTTTTCTACTATCCGTTTATATATTTTTTAGTATTTATTGTAAGCACTAATTGTTGCTATAAGGATGTTTTTACGTATCATACGAAATATTATTTTAGGTCACACGCTAATCACATATCGATTTGTTTCTCTTTTAATCAATGTGTATTTGAAAATAGTTGTTGATACATAATATATAAATTATCTGTCATATTTTGTACAATTGAATTTGTTCTCAGATGTCTTGGAGGTTTAAAAGCCACTAAAAGAACCTTATTCGATAATTATACCTTTTTTGGAGAAACAAGGCCATGTCAGGAATAAGTTTTGCGCAGAATGAAAAGAGTTCCATGGAAAGTTTAACTGCGTTACAATAGCCCATTTATTGTTAAAAAAGATCTTGTGATATCAAAAACAAAGCTCAGTACATGTACATAAATTAATAAATAGATAAATGTTGAATAGAAATTCCTATTCTTCTACAGTGGTAACAATTTATAGTACGGAAGAATAATGGAATACCGGTATAATTGATCTCAAATATTGCGAATTCAATCATTCTCTGAAATCCTTCTGAAGTATGTCACGGAGAACTACAAAAACTCCACAAAAAACATCGTACAATACAAAATACGTTCGTACGATACGTACGAGAATATTCGAAAGATTTTGTCGAAAATCAACGAAATAATGTACCGGGTTGTGTATTTGAATTGAGCTAGCAAAGAATCTAGAAAAAGTCCGCACCCTTCAAATAAAATTCAAATAAAAAGTTAATAATTTCCTCTACAATACACATCTGAAAATACATCTCTGTTACAAACACACCGGACCACCTGAACGTGAATTTAAGGTAGCATTAAATAAACCTTTTTTTGTTTCGAAACCTAAGAATTTCGACTTTTCACTTTACATTAACCATCAGAAACACACAGTTGGAGTAAACGTGAAAAGAGTAGTATAAAAAAGAATAATACTTTTATAAATGTTATAAAAAAGAACTCACCAGGTACCTCTCTGTGGCCACAGACACCAAGATGAGGTCGTCGCCCACTCGCACCTTCTCACCTTCCGAGCGCTGCTTAGAGGCCGGATGCACCGTCCACCAGCACGCCTCGCCTGCGGAGCCACGGCGCAGACCGGAGCGGTACGTGATTCAATGAAGAGAGGACGCGGATGAGCATGGAATGGATGGGGATGGCGCCGTGAGAGCCAGGTAAACGGATAGAGTCTGAGAGAAGACACCGTTTTGTCCGACGCGGGTCCCATGTCGATGGATCAATGAGTTTAATGAATAAATGCTGCTGATGAAGAGGAAATAGATGGGGATTGAGCAGGAGAAGCAGGTGAAATAGAATTCTAGGAGGACTTTGGTCCAACGCAAGTTCCACATCGACGGATCGAGATTTCATGACCAATGCCTGAATGAGTAAGTGGTACCGATGACCATATAAATGTGGTTATATAATTACATCTCCCATGCCTGGGCACAACAGATTTGAGAAACAATAAAATAGGTGTTGTGGTAAGATATCTTTGGCATTTTAAAAAATAATTAAAGAGTAGTAAGTAAAAAGTAGTCGTTTTGTGGCTTCCGTCTAGCAGACAACTGATGATGATGGCTAAGCCATCGAAAGCTGCTATTGAATTAAAAAATATTGTTGGCAATGAAACAATAAAAGTTCGCAGATTAAGAAATATGGCAAAGAGCTGGTGAACAACCAGCTTGTAACACACAGTAGAGGTACCACACGTTACCATTGCCGGAAAACTGGGAAACCTTGCCACGAATACACTTCGTTTACCACAAATTTCATATTCAGTTACAAAACTTATGGTTTGACTTAACACTTTTATTAACGATTCAAAATATAATACACGCGATCTTTAGGCTGCAATTTACAAAATTCATTTTAGAAATTAATCACTTCATTTTATGCTGACTAAACTAACGTACAATTTAAATTAAATTAATATCGCGGTTCGATGTGATACTCAGTGATGGTATTACACATAAGTCCCATTGTACGTAATCCTTGGCTATGATTTTAAATCTTTTTCGGAAAGCAGTTAATGGAGTTGAATAATTATTTTGGCGCTCTTGGCCGTCTTGATTTCCTTCACATCACTTTCTGTGATGAAGTAAGGGCGTCAAACACGAAGGGATTAAAAACTTTCGACAAGAATAAGGTTTATTAAATCAACAACCAGTGTCACTCTCCGTATATTACGTATCAGTTTCGCTCACAAACAACGATCCCGGTAATTACAAACTATTTATTTTTAAATTCGCTTTAATATTCAATGAAATGCAATTAATTTCTCTAGATATTCCGCAACATTTTATTCACTGAACATTTAAAGTTCTTTCCCTCTTCTTCATAGAAAAACTGTTCTCTTTAAAATAACTCTAAAAAATATAACTTTTATACTAAAAACCCAGAATCACTTAAGAAATACAAGTGTAATCTGAATACCGCCAAACTCAGAAATTCCATTCCCGTAGTAACCTTCCAAAAATTACACTAGTTTAATGGGTTGTAATTTGTACTTTATGTAATTATTGATCTCCTACGACTTGAAAATTTGCGAGCCAACATCCTTTTAATTAGCTGAAGCTCAAATCTCACAATTGGGGATTTCAATTCCTTCACATTGTCACTTCCTTCTCACAGCTTATTTCCCAGGTAATCAAGAGTTGCATTGATACATGGGATCGTCGCACGCAAAGACATAAAGCTTATGTAAGAAATCAATACTTGGGGACAGCTATAGATCGTCCTGAAGTCAATTTAGGAAGAATGCATCTTCCAAAAGGAAGTGATTGGCAGTTATACAGTGGCTACTGTTCTGAATCTCAGATAAGTATGGATTTCTTCGAAACGTCTTTCGAAATAGAAGGCCTTCAAAAAACGTGGATATCCGCCAGTATATTCCTCGGAACAATACCTTGAGAGTGTTCTTGCAGACCGACGTCGAACGCTAGCTTGTCGTTGGACGAGCTGGTGGACAGGCAAGCCAGGTACTGGAAAAGGAAAATACCTCTGTTAGAATTTTTGGGATTAGTTTAATAAGATCAGTTGTCTTTGAACCTCCTAACAAGTCATTATTTAATGAGTGGTTTAGTAGAGCACATACTATATATATATATATATATATATATATATATATATATATATATATATATATTAAGTTTTTAAATTTAATACACTACAGGTCTTGTGTTGTACGAATCGTTTGAGATTCTATTTTAATATAAATAGCAAGCATGCATTTAGTGGGAGCAACTACAGTTGTAATTCAAAACATTTGTGATACTTCTCTTCATATTAAGTATTCATGGTGTAATAAATACTTGATTATAACTCGTGTTTTTTACAATTTTTGTATAAATATTTCATAACACAAGAATGTAACTAGTATGCACGGTTTTTCTTACTTCATGACAGCTGACTTCATGAGTGAACCGTATCCTATTCCGGTGAAGTTATGCAACACGCAGCACACTGGTGTATTTCCGTTTGTTTCAGTGCGCCTGGAATAAAACTATGGCGCTCTTGAAAATGGTAAAATAATTTCTCATTGTTTTCAAACGAAGTTACGAGTATTCAGAAAAACATCATCCGAGTATTATAGATTTATAAATCAACAAATGTCAGCATCAGACTGAAGAGTAAATAGCTTTCATCGATTGGGAATTTGAGTTTGAGACATTCCTGCAAAGACAAGCTTGAGTTCTTTGCAGCACAGGACACAGTTCCGGAAACACAGCGCGGTGTTTCCCGGCTAGCTAACAATCTAATGACTCCAGCCGCGGAAGCCTAAATTTTCAAGAAAAGTATGGGTTTTCGAGAGCAGAATTCATTGTGAATGCCACTCATTCGACTATATTTGAAACAGCCTACATTGTACTCTTAAGAATATTGTGTTAGTCAATAAAAATGTGAGGAAAAAATAGAAAAAAAATATTGAAAACAACGAAAATAACTAAAATAAATTCAATAACTGTCACGCACTTACACGCTAATCATCATTTTTATCAATAACTCGAATACAACTTTTACACTATATTAAGATAATAAAATAAGATTTCTATTGTAATACCACGATAATCGAAGAAAAAAAAATACTGAAAAGCGATATTTGAAGCTGAATAATATTTTTACCAAAAATGTAAACTTTCTACAATGTTTTTCAAACTGTTTCGTGTTTTGTTTCAAAAGCCGTGTTGCACGACTTTAGAAGGCCGTGCTACAAAACGCTGACGTCATTCGTAGTAGCTTGCGTCCGTTGCTGTTGCATAAGAGCTGCTTATGAAGCTGTTATGGGAAGTAGCATATAATATAAATTACTACCGCAGGGTATTTCTCTCGTTTATCTTGACAATAATAGCTTACATTTGTTGACTTTTAAATATCAATTGATCTCCAGTTGATATTTTTCGAATACGTGTAGCAAGAGAATTTAGTTAATCATGCGAGCAATCTGCCTGCAGATTTTGAAGAAAAATCAAAGAACGGACAGATTGATGGACGTACGAAAGCCAGGAGAACGGACACTTAGAGAAAAAACTCTTTTGACTCTCCAAAATATGTCCTCCCAATAAAATCTCAAAAGTTATTTTTTTCGCGATAAATAACTCTCCCAAATCTACGTTCACGGCAAATTAGAAAATATAGCAAGAATTGTGAATTATTATTAATAACTACTTTATTATCATTACATGATCTAGCATTCAATAATAATGTGTATAATTAGATTTCAATAAATTGTATTTGTCGCCAGTTCATGTTTTGTCCAACGATTTACGACTTATAAACTAATAATATTGTAATGCATGCCCATGTTATGTTATTTGTTCTATGTGTGGACATTTATTTGACTATTAATTTTATCATCTTAAATAAATAATTATAATACAAACTCAACTTGTATGTTAACTTTTATCATATAACCTCGTGTAATTTTTACTGTTTTTCACCGTTTTAATATGTAATGAACGAATAAATAATTATTTGACTTTTATGAACTGTAATTTTATGAACAGACGTAAATAAATAATTATTTTTTTGAGATTCACTAATAGTTACTTCTAGAGCATGCATAGTTGAAAATCTTATTTTTTGCACTTGTGCTTAAAGTGAGACAATGCTCAAATGATAATATAAAACAATGGATCCCACGAAGAAAACACATCACTGTCATTGTATTAGCTACAAATGATCTTAATGTAATATGGCATCCAATTAAGTATTTTGTATACTTGAATTAAAATAAAAGGAAAGTCAGTAAGTCTGTCTGAAAAACAGTGTATCACACACGTAGTAAGAGTGCTTCTATTTTGCTCGTAGGAATGCGCCACTCGACTTTTGCATCCTCGCAAAATTATATGCCACTTTATCACTCTCATCATAAATACAGTAGTGCTAAAAAACCGCATCACCTTTCTCACAATTTTCATCTTCAATATAGTCCTAAAAATGCACAATTTGCTGTGCAAAAATCGAGCGAGTTATGAAGGCAATGGAATCAGAAACATCAAATAATCCACATAAAATATATTAATTACAAATGTCTACTAATTATTTTTTAAATATTTTGTTTGAGAGCAGATTGGATAAGAAAGTCCATTTTGTTCGGGTGAGGCGGTTCTTGCGAGCGCAGCTGCGCCTGCCGTCCACTCACCATGTCGCTGTTCTGGTGGCGCAGCAGGATGGCGTTGCCGTAGAGCAGCGTGCGATGGCCAGAGCCCGTGCCTTTGCCCTGCAACACACGTGCTCTGTGCAGCCCCGGGGCCACGGCGCGGCGCAGGCCGGGCACGCACACGCACGCACGCACGCACCCCTCTCCCAACGCCTCCACTCCCGCCATTCACCCCGGCGGGCGTCGTGTCTGGAGGGTTGGCCACGACTCGCTTCTGTTTCCTAAGTACCCGTACTTGCATCATTGTTGCCGAAAATTCGTTGCGGTATATGGCAATATATCAAAGAAATTTCGCGGTTTTAAAAAAAATTGTTTTTCTTTTTGTGAAGTCCATTTTATGCTCATGTCATAATAGTTGTGATTATTAACAATAAATGTAAATAAATAACAGAAGTACTATTATTTGTCGCAAAGTGGATATTTCGTGAAGCTCACCCGTTATAAATGTATAAACCGGCGCCAGACTCGTGTTAGTCTACATTACGTATTTTAAAATATAGAAATCGTTGGTTTATTACGCATTGAACTTCTTTCTTTGTCATGTTTCCTGTTGTTTCCGTACAACCAATTATCCATATATTTCACACATTAGATACTTCATCTTGGTTTTGACAATTCAATAAATCTTTCGATTTAAAGATGTCTCAGAATACATGTTACAGATTTCTAGAGTAAGAATCGTTGTTAATATTTTTTCAATATGTATAAGGTGAGAAATCTCATTTAACGAGGTCTAAATGCCTCATTTGCCCTTGATTCGTAAGGCGCTCGTCTCACAGTAGAGTTCAGCAGGTACAGGAATGTCTTTGACTGCAACATAACCTATACTTGTAAAACGCCAGTTCTACCTGTCAGAGGAAAACGTCACATGTGTAACACATGTGTGTTATGAGATTTTCCATCACTCGCTCATTTACAAGGAACCTTTCTTATTTAAATCTCCTACACCTTCTTTAGCCCAGTCAAATTAGATCAAAAATAGAGATCGAAGGGAAAAAATCCGGAGTTTTTAGCGCCTATTATACTAAAAATCCTATTGGAAGAAATCACGCCAAATTTCAAAACTCGTTTTTTTTCACTCGATTTGTTTAGTTTGCCTTGGCTACTAAATTGATAAGTATTTTAGCAAATTTTACCATGCCCTGATGAGAGAAAGATGCTTTGTTAAGGCATTGATTCATTTTATTAAGAGACACTGAATGGCGATAGAGTCTTTGATCAATCTTAAATGTGTTGCTCAGAGAACAGATACGTTATGTTTAGGCAAATAGCATGGCAATAGTTGCATTAATTGTCGATTTATTGTTTTGATAAGATGCTGTAGGGTTAAGTAGTGAGAAGTTAAATAAAGTTCTTTCAGCAGCTCCGTTTATGGTTATTTTGAAAACATTAATAAGAATAAGTTATTTGGGTTCACACCCCGTTATTTACAATTTTCAAACAATTAGTGATAAAATTCTTTATTCTAAAATCATGTGTAATACATTTCGAAAAATATATTTAAAAGCTCAATACACGTTGCCAATGATTTGAGGATAAATCGTTTATCTAAATCGTATGGAAGTTTCTGATATTTTATTCACTAATCGATTGAACCATGCAATAAGGGAAAATATTGATTCGAAAGCTGTTAAAATTAAAATAAATATTGCAAAATTGCCTTAAAGTACTGAGGAAGTATGACGTAAATGCCTTAGGTAATTTTCTTTCATAATTCCAAATCATAGATACAGTTTCGACACCATGTTTCGTGGAAACAATAAACGAAGCAAATCATGTTCCAGTCTCTACTTTATGGTCCTCGTTTCCGAGAATCAGATGAAGCATGGCAGCACTTTGTTATTAGAAAGCAAAGGGAACTGAGCAAATCTTTACAACTCAAGAAACGTATTTCTTCTTAAAAGGGAAATTAATAAGCTATTTCTGAGAAAATCTCTTCAAAGAACGCGAAAGATCCTTGTCTCCTCCTGTTGACCTTTAAATTTCTTGTCCCATTTCAAATGTTTATGTAGGACTGGAGTAAACTAGAAGTGATTGTGGAAGACCTTTTCTTTTTCACAATCATCACTTAATACTTGAATCAATGAATAGGCCTATGTAAAATCGTCCTTCTGTAATACGCTCAATTTAATTCTAGTTTTGGAAATCACATATCTATTTTTACATTTATTTATTTACTTATTTTTTAATCAATTTTCAAATTGAGAAGTTTTGGTATAATTATTTTAAATAAAAGAGAATATATATTTTATTAACGCTCTTAAACGATATAAATGCTATTTCATTCAGCGCGCGATTCTTTTTTAAAAGAAAAATACATTT